GCAAGTCTATATATATGGAGAAGTAACACACTCCTTTGAAATAAAAACTGGTGTTCGTCAGGGTTGCGTCCTTTCTCCCACAATATTCAACTATGCGATAGACTGGATAATGGGCATCACTTGTCGGCACTCAAGAGGTGTGCAAATCAGTCCAGAACATAGCATCACAGATCTTGAATACGTTGATGTAGTACTTTTTGCTGAGAGTTATAAAGGAATGCAAATAATAAAGATATCAACAATGTGTCAACAACTGTAACGAGAATTGGACTCAAAATCAATGTCAATAAAATGAAAGTGATTTCGTCTTATATGTGGAAGTGCTGGGCTCTAAATGACCAGCGATATATGGACTTAGACGATGGAAAAAGGAATGGCTTCGATTACTAGTATGTCGGACCTAGCAGCTTGGAGACGTCTTACTGTTTTAGCCAGCGAAACCAGCCTAACAGCAATGGTGAAAGCTGTTAGAAGAAGAAGTACATTTCATTAGCCAATTTTATTTTTTATTTTTGTCATAAATTTTATATAGATAATCATTCAGACTGTATTTCTCATCATGATTTTAATTTTCAGAAAAAGTTTCAGTTCGGCTCGGCGAATATGCATATTTTAACCTTTTTAAGAAAATATCCAGCCAAAATTTTTATTTTTTATTTCCTTTCATTTATTTCCGACTACTTTTCATGAGACCCAAGAATCACTTAGAAACAGAAATATATATAAGCACGACTTGAATTTCTCTTCATTGATAGCTTTTCTGTTTTCAGTGACAAGAACTTAATCCATAATTGTTTCACCTTGGCCGAAGTAAAAAACAATACACAACCATTTCATTCTCGTCAACTTGATAATATATTATTAACAACAAAAAAAACCATTTAAAATAGACAAATTCATCTCACCATAATTTTTCATGAATTCTTAAATCAGTTTTCATGAATTACAGATATTTATGCGAAGAAATGGATAAGCATTTCATTCATTTGATTTAGACAAAATGTGATCCATTTAATAGTGGTTCATAAATAATGTAAAAGATTCTCGCATCTTTTATAGTTTAGATTTTTGAGCAGTGATCACAGTTGTAAAATGACGTTAAAAATTCCGCAACTATTTGTTCCGATCTATACCTATGTCTATCTATATAAACAATCGGGATGATTGATTCTTAATTTTTTGAGTTTTTCATCATCCACTATACACTGGATGAGAACAAAAATTAAAAGCAATTATTCTGTTATATCGTTCGCTAACGAATATTATCATCAGACGAGAAAATGAAAGACGTATTCACATGTCCACTGTCCAAAAAAATTCTAAAAACAAAAAATTCAGATTTGTGGAAAAAGAATACATTTAATGGTTAGAAAATATAATAAATCTAGAGTGTAGTGTTAATTAAAATTAATATTCTGAATTTCTTTAAACCTTTTCTCAGCACTTGAAAGAAATGGCAAATAATTTATATAATCTGAAAAAATGAAAAAATCTTTTTTTCTAAAAGATTATTTCATAAATTCAGGCAAGATGAATGAGTTATGGAAAAGTTGTAACTAGAGAAGGAATAAAAAACTAAAAAATTCAAAAAATCTATTAGAAGACTGTAAGTTGAAAAAAAAAGACATGTTGAATAGTTCTCCATGTGACAAATTAAGCACGGAAAATTTCTAAAATTTTTCGCTAAGTGGATGGATGTCTTTCATAATTTCAATGAAAGTAACAGTAAAAAAATACAAAATTCTTGCCATCTATTAATTTAAGAATCAACTTGAGAACCTTCGGATTATTTAAGAAACCAAGATTGCCCGTTTAAATCTTTGGTGGTAATGATGAGCAAAAACTTTTTATAGTGTATGCCATATTTTCGGTAAAACTTTTGTGCCGCAAAGGTGAAAATTTCTGCCTTAAATTTAGAAGCATTGCGATGAGTTTTTCAATATTTTGAAATATTTGGTACAATAAAGATTAAAGTTATTGGTGCCTATCAATATGTTTCGATTAAAAAGTTATAATTCTTTTATTCGCGCTATGATTAATTAGAAAAAATTTTAGAATAAAAAAGTTAGAATTATAGATGTGGTAAATGTATCTTCAACAAATATTTTAAAACAAGAGTTCACCAGCAATATTAATTAGCGCTATTTAGAATAGCAGTACAGATTCAGTTTATTCACTATCGTTATTCGTTATGCTCCTTTTCTCAAGCAGAATTTCATTTTGAAGTTATCAATTTTATGCTTTTTGTTTTGATATAAGCACATGGCGTTATGCTATGCTTGGTTTTTTTGAAAAATAAATAATTGATGGTCCAAAATAAATAATGTTAATGCATTGTATAAATTGGCCCAAAATGCCTCCTAAAATTGCCCAGCACAACTATATCAGCGCTTACAAATTTTTTTTGCCATGGAATTCAGAAATTACGCTAGAATTACGGAGTTTATTCGCGGTTGTTTGCGTTTAAAAATAAATAATTATACAGTAACTATCCAATATTTAGAGACAACTATACGGAAAGTTGTGGAGGTGTAATGATTCTTGTTACGTCTGAAGATATGTGACATCGTGTGGTTATAAGTTTAACCAATAATTTGTTTTTACAGTAATTCTCGCCAATTTGGCATACCAGTGTTCTCTAGGATTTATTTACGTTTCATAGGCGTATGTAGACAATTTATTCTCGCCTCGACTCAAGCAAGAAAAAGTTTCTAATTATCTAATTACTTTATCTTTTCTTTCTCTCTGTGAATAAAAATTATCTTTACGGCATTTTACACAAATATATAAATAATTTCGTCTCTTTGCACACAAAGAAATTCCATTAGCTACTTTATCAGTCGAGTAAACTTTAAAAAAAGTACGAAATAATAAATTATTTTCGTTGCCAACTTCGCTACACACCTTCTGGAATATGAGGCGACAGGCCAAGAGAAATCAGCGCGATTTAAGATACAATCTGGTACTGAGGCCAAGAAAATTTAAATCCATGCAACTTATATTTAAAAAATTTAGGAATACTAACCAACATGTTGTGATAAATTTAAGCAAATCCTAAAGAAAACTACAGGATATAAATAAAATTAACGACAAATTTTTGAGGAACAGTGAGAAACGTTGCTCTGTCCAGTGGTTTTGCAGCTTTGATAACAATATTAGGGTTATGGCTCTCAAAATTTTGGAAATATTTTTGTAGAACTAACGAATATATTATTTTCACTTTACGGAAAAGGTATTATGACGTAATTGACACTCGATCTTTTCACTGAGATCACTTATAACTTATATAATACCCCAGAGAATGAGCCAACATTACCATCCTAACGTTAAGATCTATTCCTCAAACTCAATCAATGAGTAGTTATCGAAGAATCTGAATCACTAATCCTCCATTAAATATTTCAAAATTTCTATAAATTCTATCTGTTCTATCTGTAAATGGTAAATTCCATTCGATAAACTGCGGTAATATAACCATACCTGCATAGATCATTTTAAGCCTGGCAGGAAAAAATATCCAGGTTTCCCTGACGAAAATGTCAATTTAACAGATGTGCAGCAAGCCTAATCGATTTTTTGAACAAGGTCCATTCTAACGAAAATTCTTTATATTTTCGGCAAAATTTTAGATTATATAAAAGAAATATTTTGGGAAATTTTGATTATAAATGCTAATTAATGATCGACCCAATTTAAAAAATCTGGCTGCACAGAAATAAATAAATTTAAGAGAAATAAATTTTTTTGGGCTATTTTTATGAAAAATTTATTTCTGACTTTCGTTATTTCAATTTTATTTACCATACATAATTTTTTGAATGGCGTTTTAATTTTACTGAATCTGTTATCCAATGCAATGTCGGACACTACCGGTAGGAAAGAAAAGAATGCAAGTCTTAAAGAATTCAGTCCAAACATAAGTCTACTTTTTGCATTCACCCATTCCATTGCGATGTTTGGACAATTAGTTAAAGCAACAATTATAAAAATAATTTAGAAATATAAAATCAGATAATTTGTCGTGTATTATGCAGTTGTCAATGATTTGATTGAATGTGCGTGTCGCTGAGTGGCTGAATATGTTCTTAATTCATGATGAATAGAAAAAGTAGATTCGAGTGGAAGGGGAGGGGGGGATGGGGGAGAGAGAGAGTGGGTTGGTGGTCGTCCATTATCAGTCAGCCATCTACGAAATAATAGAAAGCATTCAGATCAAAAAGAGGAATCAATCAATCGATATACCGAATATATTTCGACATTCAAGTCAATCACTCGATCGACACAAATCCGGTTTCACAACCACATTGATTTACCGATCCTTATTATCCACGCCAATTGCATTTACAATCCAGAGCACGAAAAGGTTTTCGGAAAAGAGAGATTTGAATTTTTTTCGACACTCGTGAAGCCACTGCGAAACGGAATAACGGGTTTTCGAGCATTGCTTCCCTTGATTAGACATCTTTGCTCCATTTAGTTGCCACTACGACCCAATCGACGTCGATGACGACGACCTGTAATAGTGTCTACCTCACCTCTCACTGAATGCAATGATATTTGTATTGTCGTTCGGCTTCGCATTCTTATTTTTTATTCTTCCTTCGTATTCGCAATATCACAATGACGATTTGTATATATTAATCGATGAAATTAGCGTCTACTCATGTCGTGGAGGTGAACCATAATATTTCTTCATTTCTGCCTTTAAATCTTAGGATTTTTACAATCTTCCTTATTACTTTCTTATGTTAAAATATTCTATTTCCTCCACCAAAATCCTTTTTCGCAACGATTTGCGTAATCAACTTGTGGGATTAGTTAAATGCTCAAATCGATGTGCAGAAATCCACTCTTTTTTATGTGAGCCTTGCTTAAATGATAAATCTATCTTTTATAAGAGTAGACACATCGTGAGTTTTCTCTCTTTCCTGGCAATTGTCGCAAGCCGAACGTCTGAATGTAACACGTTTTTTCAAATAATTGTTACGTCAAATATAATATTGTATCAAAAATTAGTTTTAGTTAAGAACGAAATCAAAATAACCGAGGATGATATAAATATTGTAAATGGCAAAGGGAATCGTGTTTACTTCATTAAAGCACCAGGAAATTATTCATTACACTTCAAAAAAATCGCCGTACTCGATGATTTTGGCTATCTCACAGGTGAAATCGGGGTCACTCTGCAAGTTCCACTTCTTGAAGGTCCCGCAGGTGAGTAAATGATATATTTTCCAGAATTATGTGTCTAATTTTCCATCTTATCGACTTCTCATTTTTAATTGCTCGGTTAGTTTTTTTCTTGTTTAATGAACGATTTAAATCTTTGATATTACTGATATTCGATAGGAAGTATTAACTGATCGAGCCAATTCTACTCTTTAGTTTCTTATACGAATCGAAAAAAATGTCAAAAGTCAAAATAGAATCGCTAGAAAGAAGGATGTCGGCTCTGAAAAGCTCTGAAATGACGAAAATGTAATGATATAATATAATCCTAAAAATAATAATGTGAATGGTGGATCATATTATGACCTAAATTCTTGTACTTTGGCTCATTATATTTCAATATTATTAAAAGTTTTTAGAAGTTGTCGAACGAAAAATGTAATTGCTATTGTTCGTGAAAATTTTCTGCGGCTGATAGAAAATTCACGAAATTTTATAAAAATTACAGCAATAATGCTGATTTAAGGCATTCGCTTCGATTTGCCATATACAATGATCCCCGAAACCGGATTGTTAAATCAACAATGTGACGATTTCAGCGGAATGGTTAAGAGAGATGGGCGACAATACTGGTCAGTTTCTAGGTCAAAGGATGTAATGTTTAGCATTCATTTTTTTTTATTGAATTGAAGACATTTCTTCATTTTCACTCTTATTGTTGGCTGAAAATTAATAGGAACTCAAATATTATTTATATTATCTGTTACGCTTTACGCATTTACGCTTCATATTATCTGTTAGTTACAGATAAGTTCATAATGATGAGCAAAAGTAAAAAAAATTTTGCACATTGAAAAAGAAGAAAAACTGGCCATTTTTAAGATGGTATAATGGAATTTTAAGAGATTTTAGAAAACAACGCGACCATTTTAAGTGAACAAGTTTTAAGAGTTAATGTGTTTTAACTAGAGAGCACAACGGGTTTGATAGAACATTGAGGGAAGATAATGAGGTTAGATAGAGTCAGGGCCATGTGGAAATGGAGTCTGAGGGAGTATAGAAGGTTATGAAAGGTCATCAAGGCAAAACAACGAACATCAGGCGGGCATGATGGGGATGAAAGGAAATTGTTAGGGAAGTATCGTGGATTTTGAAACAAGCTTACAAGTTCAGATTAAACAAAAAAGCACAACGGAGTTTAATGGGAGCTGTAAAGAAGCACAAGGTAAGAAAATTTAAAAGATAATGAGGGTATCGAAGGGAGTATTAATAAAAAGTGTTTCGACAGTAAGCATGCATACACATACTGAAGTTACCAAAAGTAGAGTACACCACTTTAGAATATCACTATTCGCCATTACAATTGTTATATTTGGCATATTAAAATATTGGATGACATGAAATACAATGGCCTTCCAAAACTTTTAAGCAAAAATTCCACTCCATATCATCGATTTTTGCAGTCGATACTGTGATATATGCGAGCTTACGGATAAAATCGAAAACGGTTTAAATGAAAATGGTCATTTATTTTTACCAGAGCTTGCTAGAGGTAATGAGGAAAGATTTGCTCCAAAGTGTGGTCGAATATCCGCAAATGTTTATGAATTCAAGAGGACAATAAATTTGCCTGGTAGACAAGAATTGGAGGCGCGTACAAGAGATAAGGTGCAAGGACTTGATGGTGAAATCCGTCAGCGTTTAAATAAAAGGGTAATTTTGTTCAAAAGGTTTTTATTTGCTTTTTAGGTTTTTAAGAGTTTTTTTTATCGTCGCAACCATATAAGTATCCTTCATTTTTTCATTTAATTAATTTTATTTATTAATTTGATTTGATTATCAACAATATTCGTTTCGCTCGTTTATCATATCAGAAAGTTAAAAATGAAAAGTGTTAATTTTTTTTCTTTAGAAGAATCATCAATTTCATAAGCTGTTAGGAGGGGTTATTTATTTTGCCATATCTTGTATAATTTATTTCAGCGAGGTCGTTTCCAAGTGTTCTTGAATTTGATCACCTCAAATCAACCTCCAATTAAACAAGATGCTTGGTTTGATGGATCTTCCAGGGTAAAATTTTTTTATAGACAACAATTTTCAACTAATGGCTTGAAATAAGCAGATTAAGTAAACGAGCCAACATCACAGTCAGAGATTTAATCGAAAAAATGTGTTGTGAAAAAGGAAACGACCTTACCATTCATACAGTACGTTCATGTTCATGTAGTTTCATTGTTCTTAGAACACTAAATTCCAACCAAAAATATGGCTGAATCATGAATGAAGCTCAAATAGATCGCTGGATAATTTTAATAAATATAGATAGTTTCAAAAAATCTTTATTAATAGGTCTTCAAATTTTGCTTAGAAAAATGAAAATTTTCTAGATTGCTAAATTTAAATTATATACTTTTAAATTTTTCGCAGTGTCGTTGTTGTGGGCGGAAGAACAACCCACAGTGTCGTGGTGTCTTAAGTTTTCTATATTGCAATAAAGAAGACTGCAAAAGTGCATGGGCACAGCAATGCCTTCACAATTCTGCACGAATCGCTGCATGTTATACTGTGGAATTCAACTATCGCATGACAACATCCTACGCACATGTGTTGCAGTTTCTGAAAGAAAACAAATACCCGAATCAGGAAAACTATAATCCATCAGTAACAAGGTTAGATCCATCAGCGATTCCATCTAAATATCTTTTAAAACAAAACGACTCTGCTCGACTCTGATCAACGAATTAATTTCATTAGGGGAATTCCAAATTATTTTATTGTTTGAAATGGTGTGGGTTTGTTGATCAATGTGGTTATTCCATATTTATTTTGAATTGCTCTTGAGTCATTATATCAATTCAATTTACTGAATTCCTGTGGCCATTATACCACATAAGTACCACTTCTTTGAGGTAGTTTTAGATGGTCACGTGATTCAAAAATCCCCCCTTTTAATTTTTTTTGCAGTTAAATTTTTGATAGAGAATGTGTTTCATGCATGCATTGCTTGCTATAATTCATGAAATTTTTGAAACTAGTGGTACTTTTTGGCTTCTATTCTTTCTAACACTTTTTCATAGTTTATTTATATATGGATTTTGTTAGCCGTTCCCATCAAGGCTGAAAAGTAAAATTGTATTAATGGTGAAAAAAAGATCGAATGAATTTTATAGAAGTACAAAAAGAACGATGTTTCATAGCTAACAAAGGAATCGCTGTGAAATTTTATGCAAAGGCCGAGAATTTCATAGTTGATTATAGTTTCGAATGCATTTGTTGGTTATAAAATCAGTTTTCAGATGCCATTAATAGCATCCACACGTTAGTCGAAAAATATAGATTGCATGATCTTTTTTACGATAAAGTATATTACAGATTTACAATAAAAGCCAAAATAAATGAATGACTGATGAATGAGAAAGATTAATGATTCTGGTAAATAGACTAAATCTTTATCTACGACCCACAAAATTTATTTTCCACGTTTCTAAATTAAAAAAAAAGATGGTGTGGGTTAATGGGGCAATAATTTTTTTGCAATTTTTATTTTTTAATCCGCCACGAAGCCAACTCTTTGGCAAAATTTATCTTGTCTGATAAGCGGACATGGCCGGATATGTTTTTATTGTGCCGCATTTAATCGAATTCTATTTTCTACTCTCTAATTGTTTAATTAATGAGATATGAGATATAAGTAATTGAAGGTGTACAAAAATTTTTCAGTGCACCAGTCGAAGAAAAATTGGAATATGATGAAGAAGAAGATGAGAGTTCATTAACGGATCGGTGTGTCCGAAGAATTCCGGCAAGAAAAAATCATTTACGACGATATTGCAAAATATTCTGGAATAGAAAATTATGTTGCAAAGAATGTGAAGGCATTTGTTAGAAACACAAATATTTCCGTAGTCGATTACGATGAATCAGTACTGAATGAGTGAATTTATGGATATTGCACGGGTAATGGATGAAATGAAGCAAATTTTCAAGATTTAGATTTAGAAATTCAAAAATCGATTAGCTCTACACGTTTCGTTTTTTATCACTTTTTTTGTAAGTAAATCAATTTAAAAAACTTTTACATTAAACAATTTCATAACGTTGAACTGTTCATTATTTTTTCATTTAAAATAATATAGCGGTAGAGCTAAAATTGTTTTTTTGTTTTTTAATAAATATGTAATATTAAGTTCTTCCTTTTTTGCGTTTTTTGAAATCGTAAAAAACATTGTCGCCACATTTGAATTGTCTATAAATTTATGTTCATACAACGATGCTAATGAACTGCAGCGATGTGAAAAAGAAGAATTAACAGTTTCATCCGAGAAACAGTTAAGACGTAATTTTTAAACATTAATTTATATTGACTAAATAATTATCAGCAAAATAATAATAATTTAGATTATTGCTGAAATATTGCTGAAATCTTTCTTGTTCTTGCATATTTGTGTATATCCTTGCAATGGAGCAAACCAAATTATTTCATGAATAATGCTGAAGAAAAATTTAAAAAATTGGTTCGTAGGTTTGATATCAATTAGATAGAGCATCTCGACCATCTTTTAATGTTTAATTAACTTTCTAAACGCAGAACAAATAAAAACAAATAAATATGGTTTTACAAATAATAAACATTTTTAAAATACCAGGAAAAAACTATTAAGTATTAAGTAACAAGTTGCATACTCCACGGAAAATGAGAAACTTCTGTTATATTACAAAATACAGCAGGAAAATACACTTTCATTTTAACTTATTTCAAGTAAGCACTATTCTCGAAAACAAATAACCAAACAATACAAATAAAATTTTATATGAAATAAAAATAAAAGAATTTATATAAATTAGTATAGAAATATGGAATAGCATGCCAAAAAGAATAATTTTTGGAAAAACTTTTAGAACTTTTCTTCAACTTCTGCTTAACCGAATATTTAATCGCTCTAACACTTCTAATTAGCTTTAGCATAACTTATTTTCAGATCAAAGATTAGAAGTTAAAAGAATTTCACTGAATATGCCCCGTTTATTAAGAGGAAAAAAATTTGAGTTTTAATAAACATTCGCACACCTTTAGATTCAGAATCGACTTACGGTTACCAAATAATTACAAAATAGAAAACAAATATGGTTAGAAATATTTATTAGAGCCGTGTTTTAAGAAATCACATCAACATGGGCGTCCCTCGTTAACTTGAAGAAGATTTAAATGCTTCCCATATAAATATTGTATAGGTTGCTTGTAAGTGAATCAACTGAGAATCAACAATTTCTCAAAGCTACTTGAAAATTGTCTTCAGGCGGAATTCATTCGTTGGTGCAAAAAAATAAACTTTCTGACAAAAATGAAGGACAGCTTTCTAGAATATTTGGCGATAATTATGAAAGCCATCTTTCTTTTTTCAAAATTACTATTACAAATGAATTCAACTGATTTTAAAAAAATTTTTGTGAAGTGAAACTGTTGTTTTAATAAAATTGCTATCGATCGCTCATCATTTTTACAAATTCTTCGTAATCGATCTCCCCATCGCCTAAACATGACAAGTAAGAAAGAAAAATCAATCAAACTTCGGTTAATTTTATTATAATTTATTAATGCTTTTACAAAATAAATTGCTTTTGATATGCACTTTTTATTTGGATTCATATTTTGCTTATTAGTGAATTAATTTTTTCTTTCGCAGTAAAAGCAAATTTGGATATTAATGCGATTAAAACCAAAAGCAAAAATTTAAACGGACGAACCATCCACATCGACTTCTCTTATCATTTCGTCAACTTCATCTTCACTAAACTGCATTCCCATGTGAACCTAAAATTGCTTTCATTCCGTAATGGAATTTTATAATAGTGAGATTCTGTAGCACATGTAACATTTGGCATATCCAATAAATTATCCAATAAATTAGAAAAAATGATTTCAAAAATTCTTCAAATTCTTCTGAAATGAGGAAAAAATTTGTCCGTTCGAACTGTTGACAGTCTTTTTATCATGCGAAAATGCAGTGAACATTTTAAAAAGCATAAAGATAATTTTAGAACAAACCATAAAATAACGGAATTCTTGTGCAGTTATAACACCATTTCCATCCTTGTCGAAAACCCGAAACGCTTCACGTATCATCTCAGAATCTGTTTCCTTCATCATTCGCTTCATCATAACGCAAAATTCAGGGAATTCTATTTGTCCATTACCGTCGATATCAACTTCATTAATCATTTCAAGAATTTCCTATAATTTTTCAAAGCCTTTTTGAGAGAGAGAATTTGGCTACATATAAAGAAAATAGTCAAATATTCTCATGGAAGTAATGCGAAATAAAGTTTTCGCTTCATCGTTTTTTTTATGAATGAATGTTGAACAGAAAAATCAATGAGAATTCCGATTATTACGATTCCGATTCCGATTGTTTATTAAGGGCCAAATTTTTCAATTTAGTGAAGGAAGCTAAAGCGAATGAATGAATATAGCTATGGAGTTAATTAATAATTGATGGCAAAAATAACTGGATCACTGCATACAGCTAGATGATTTGCTATGCACAAATGGAAAAGCCAAGTATGATGAATAGTGGCTTGCCTGCTCAGTCGGGTTCTGTCCAAGAGAACGCATTGCTATACCTAACTCTTTTGTGGATATCGTCCCGTTACCATCTTTGTCAAACATCATAAATGCCTCTCGGAATTCATCGATCTCCTCTGGAGTTAACTGAAACTGTGTTGCATGCAACACAACACAAAATCAAGAGATATAAACCATAAAAACTTGAAAAAAACTTTTCTTTTTTGCTTGTTCAATTATTTTAAGAAAATCTGTTAATCTTTTTTCGTTTAAATATTACTGGTACTGCGTACCATATGACATTGGTATTCATCAACTTCTTTGAATTTGCTCCAAATTAAATTTCGCAGATTTAGAAATTTTTTCATTTATGCATATCTATCAAATTCTTTGCAGGATAGCCAAGAGGTTATTAATCAGATTACCGCCGTCTTCAGCATCAGAGTTCGGATTCTGCATTTGGCAGGAGTACTTTGAAAATTCCGGATTGTACTGGCGATATAAATTTAATTCTATTACCACATGATCTTCTGGCAAAAATTTCTCAATATACTAACCAGTTGATTGAGCTTAACTAGAAATGATAACTGAAAGAATTGCCCATTTACTTATTTATATTTTCTTTCATTAAGTTTAAGTTTAAATTAACCCTATTTGAAGATTTTTTCAATTCATGCATAATAATTAATTTGCTTTTATGTTCACTAAGACGTGTTAATTACTGAAGAAAAATTATTATTGGCTTCGCTTCAATCATTAATCAGTCCCACAAATATTTATCGTGTAAATATAGCAGATCAAACATCATAATATATTAAATTTTTATCTATAACATGTACATAAAGTGTTAGAAGATTTATTGCTTCGAATTCTCCTAGTAGTTTTTTTGTGTTCTACACTACCCGTTTGTCAACTATTTGCTTGCTTTGCATCTAATTTAATGACACATAATAAAGTTGTAGCATTTCAATTTTTTGTTTATAATCATTCGAAAATTCAATTTATTGTTTTGGTGTTTGGATTTTTGACAGCATATTTTTCTTGGTGTACCAGAGCGCCACATCTCACTAAGGTTTCTTGTTTCTTTCAATTTCGTTTGGTGTAATTTTGGGTGACCGAATTTGGCATGCAACGATGCGATTTTCAACACTTCATGAGCTAAGGCATTGAACTATGGAGGTCGCTTGTTATATGCAAATAAGTTTTAATGATAATACTTCTGGAGAAAGAAAGTGCGAAAAAAATTCGTGGAATTCAGGCCCGTTCAGGCCCGGAGATCTCGAAGATACACCATACTGTGGGCGACCCTTAAATTCTATAAATGAATTTCTGAGAGAAAGAGTGATGGCTAATCCTAGAGTCCCGGAATTTTTTGTATAGATAGCCCAATGTTTCACAAAATTCAATGTGGAATCAACTGCATGCAATAGGAAAGAAGAAAAAGTTTGACAAGTGGACATCCGCTCGAAAAAGACTATATCTATTATTTGGTCCGCAGGTAGATTGAAACATTGTAGCTTCTTAAAACCATGTGCAGTAATTAATCGCTGACAAAACTGAACCTCATGCCACAAGAGTCAAAAATTTGCCGAGCTGAATATTGAATATGCAGTTCTTCCTCATGAACCATATTCCTTAGATTTCTCGTACTTTTTATACTTTTTAACTCCTTCCTTTTTCTTGATAATTTCTTTAGGGAAAAATATTTTTGAATAAAGAAGGACCTTGAAAATGTCTTCCAATAATTCATTGATTTCAGAAACCCAGAATCTTATGCAATAGAATAAATTATAATGGTAAATCACCTGTTTTATAATGTCTTCACTAAATTGCATCATACTTGACGACTGCGGTGTGCTTAAAGCCATTGTAGTTGCTTATATCTGAAATTAACTATGATGTGAAGCAGTAAATTCAAATACCAAGCTAACTGATTACTCAATATTCAATATTACGATAAAAAAAAAACAAAATGGTTTTGGAAAGTAAAAGAGCGATATAATTTTAAATGATCGAAAGAATATTAGTCATTTTGCATGAGCGAAGTTGTATAAAAATATCGAAGTAATAAATATTAATATTAATAAAAGTTATATTTAATTAATCGAAGAAAAAATTCTTATTACTAATAACGGAAGCACAATTCAAATAATGAACACGACAAAAAACAATAATTTTTGATTCGGCATATCTTTTTTACACGGGTTGAATTAAATATTTTCAACATTATCCAAGCAACATAAATGCACAAATGCACAAATGGGCTTAGGAGGTGTAAAAAAAGAGTGACTTCAGTTACTTCCACGCATGCTATCGGATCGGTAAGCTTGGAAACACCTTATCCTAATCACCGATGCAGTCAGCTAAAACCGCTACAGTACTCATCCTATCACCCTTAGAAATGAAAATTTCATGGAGCAAGGAAATTTGAATAGTTTGAATCGAAATGAATCTTTCTCGCATAAAATGACTGGTGCCTCTAAAATATTTTGCTCCTAGATTAATGTTGTTTAATGAATTGTATAGAAATTAAGGTAGGCAAAAAGAAATACTCGTTGACATTATTCAAGAAGCGGAAAAAAACATCAGCAAAAATTGCTTTAATGAAAATTCTTAATTAATATTCAAAAGGACCTTTATACGCTTGAAATGTAGAATTCAGAATGTAAAAGAATGAAATAAATGCGCACATGAAGTAAGTAACTAACAAACTAAGTTAACAAATTTGCATTAAACATAGACAATAACACTGAAGACAAGTTTTTTTGAATTTCCCTGGAGAATCAATTAATTTTCTATGCAAAAATTCCTGGAAAAAATGAAAAAAATTAAGAAAAAAATAATGGAAAATAAGAAAAATGAAAAGAAAAACGATTGTATTCAATGAAAACTTTCTCACTAATAAATCTTGTTTTAAATTCGTTTAGAAAACATAAGAATGCATTGTTTTCTTCTTCAATTCGTCAATTTATAATATATTTAATTATGAATTTTGAAAAAACGGAAATTTCTATTAATTAATCAAATTTGGTGCGCTATTTTTTTTAGTAAAATAGATAAAGATTAGTAAAAATCATTTATTATATTTCTACTTTCCTGTTTTTCGCGAACAACAAAGCATTCTATTATTGTCAATACATCAAGAAGATGAAATGGTCATTTCTAGTAAAGCTCTTTATACTTACTAATAGTACATTTTTGCCAAGGAACCAAAAGGATATTCCGAAATAGAAAAAGGCATGGATGCCCTGCATTACCATATTTTTCAATTAATTACAGACTTACTTTCGAAGTAACCAAAACCTTGACATTCGAGGCGATAATCTGGGCAATAGTCATTCAACTATCCCGTCTCACACCATTACTAAAGGCTTATAATTAAAAATATAAAATTTCAAAAATACTTAAGGCATTTTCTTTTTGTGAATTATTTATTTATATTTACTAAAGCATTTCAACGCGCTAGAAACACAAACATTTTCCAGTTAAAAAGTAAACCCAACACTGAGCACTTATATATTCAAATATTCATTCCTTCGCCTCTTATCGATGGGATGAAAGCCAATTGACTTCATCACCATACTAATGAAGCGGAAGCGAAGTGGACAGAAGGCGGACTCGATGAAATAAAAATAAGAATCGATCGAATATGAAATATCATGGCAATACATTAACACATTGATATCTCATCACAGCATATAATTTCGAATGAATGAACTACAAACTGTGACGGATATATGATCCGAAGGGAGAGAGGAAAATAGAAACGGAAGCTTGCTCACTTTTCCGAATAATTCGCGAACCGAACTAGAAAGTTTTTATTAAAAAATTTATTACCTTAAGGCTATGAATGCAGCTGCAAATTAAAATGAAGAATAAGGATTTAATAAATTTTTTATAAATTGAGATTTTTATTAGAGTGAATAAATTCTCATTTCTAAAATCGTGTCGATAAGATATAACTTTACTAAAAATCTCTTGAAATCAATTAAAATCTCAAATGAAAAGCCATTATCAGTTATCTAAATGATGTGACTACTCTTATCTCATTTAATACATAATTTTACGCGCATTTTGCTTTGATGCATATAACCATAAAGCTAGCAGTAGTTAGTCACCATACTCATTAAAAGTCTCTTAGAAAATACCTGCCATGTTTGGGTCACTTCTTCTTCTCTCGCCATTACTCTTTAGGCTGGTTGCACTGGCTACAAGGGTAAGACGTTTCCAAGCTGCTCGATCTGATGCCATCGCTGATGGTAATAGAAGCCATTCCTTTTTTCACCGCCTAAATCCATATATTGCTGGTATATGTTCAAAATCTTTCCTGGTTATATCAGTCCAGGTCTTGACTGGCTCACCTCGTTTTTGGGTCTCTAATAAACAACAAGCATTAAAGTTTATAGAAAATAATTGAAACCATTGAATTTCCTTAAATAAATAAATAGTTAATATCAAATAATGTAATGATAATGGTGTGCCATAAAGAAATAAATAAATCAAGAAAAGCCTAATTAAAAAACCAGTGATAAAGTGTTTTTTCAGTGATGAAGTTAAGGTTGAAAAACCAAAACAATACGAAAAGCAAATAACATGACATATGTCAATCTTTTATTACTCACATTCGAACCAACCAATCTAATGACAAGTGAATTCACCTAAAATATTCTACAAATCTTTATATAATATTTCACCTTATTTTATGGTCTGAATCTGGTTTTAATTCACATGTAATTTCAAAAAAAAACAGCTTTTTATCACTGGCCTACCAAAAATTCATCTTAACAACAAATGGGCTAAAACTTTACAGTAATTAAAGCAGTTTTGTTCTGTTCTCTAAGTTCAAAAATTAAAGATTTTTAACATTTTAAAATTTTAAAAATTAATTCAAATCATATTCAATCAGATTTCTGAAAAATGATTGCAAATGAAAAAGTTTCTTTTGTATACGGCGCTAATCTATTAAAATTTGTGGAAAAAGGGACGTTTCTACTAAAGTTTTTTTTAAAAGAAATCACCAGTTACTGGGTACACTCGCTTCGCTGGTTTGCTGAATTAGATAATTATGTTAGAAAGTCCTTAGGCTATAGAAGTACAGGTGAGCAGTCAGCATCACCCGGATTTTTGGACAAGCATTAAAGTTTATAGAA